GTCCCTGCCCACGGCAGGGGGGTTGGACTAGATGACCTTTAGAGGTCCCTTCCAACCCAAACTATTCTATGATTCTATGATAATGAAAATGTCTCCATATAATATATTGGGGGGAGGAGGAAGCTGGGGGAGACCAAAGGTGCTGCTGTGGCTGGGCGGCTGCCTCTGCAGCAACCACGCCATAGGAGCCCGGGTACGGTTTTATCTGCTGTTTCTGACCGAATTAGGAGGCTTCCTTCATGGCTTGCATGGGAGCCTTGTGCACAAGAAGAAATACCTTTCTCCCCCCCTGCCCCAGCCCTCTCCATGCACTAGTGAACAACACTTCTGAAAACAAATATATACCCTTTCAATTTTTTTTTTTTTTGAGCAATAATCAGGGATAAAGTTTGTTTTCCAGTATAAACCTCCCTTCTTATTAGAAGGAACTTATGAAAAAAGGGTCTTCCTACCTCAACCACCTTCCCTTTTCCTGTACTTATAAGAAAGGACTGTAACAGAGAGCAAAGAGTCATGGGCACACTGAACCTGTGTCGTGGTTTAACGACATATATATATGTTGTTATATATATCCTATACCAGCTGCTAGGAAGAAAAATAACTCTATCCCAGCCAAAACCAGGACAGCCTGGGAAACAAATGGTGTGTTTTTCATTTATTGTTTCTTTCCATAAGAGCTGAGATAATTTGTACAAATCACTTCACCTCATAGTGCTCATCCTTCCTATTTCTAGATTAGGGATAATAACTCATGGAGAAGAGGTCATTAAGAAAAACATTAATGCCTGGTGGCAGGTATCACCTGTAACTACCATCGTTCAATAAATTGTAGGCAAATCCTGACTTCTTTAATGGGCATGAGCTTAATTAGATACAGGGTGTAGGGGTTTCTTGCTCATTCATGCCTATGGTGTGTACTGAGATATTATGAGGAGAATGGTCCTGAAATGTCAGGTCCCTCTGCTAGCTTAGCACTTCATCTTGTGTGCTTTGATGGTCCTTTGCCGACTTGTCTTAAGAAACACTGCAGCCTGACTGCAGTCCCAGAATCCCTGCAAGGAAATTTAGAGCTTGTTCAGAGCTTTCCTTTCTTGTAAGAGCTAATACGAGTAATATAGGCTGGACTGCAACTGATGTACCTTGACATGGCTTCTTTAATCACCAAGGACCTGCACCAGCTTGCCCTGGTGACAAAAATTTCATTTACCTGGTAACAGCATGGTCACTTCCTTGGGATGTAACAGAGGTAAACACATAGCTCTGCTCCCAGTGAGTTGAAGCAATGTTGTGAGCCCCCAGGTTCAGTAAACTGTGGAGCAGAGAGTGAAACAAATTGGGTTTTTTGTTTGTTTGTTTTGTTTTGTTCTATTTTGTTCCCCCGCCCTGTCCTCCCCCTTGATTGGGGCATTGGTTTGGGACATGAGGCGACTGAGGTTGTAGTTGTTGTTCCAGTGAATAATTAATAGCTATTTCTGAGTTGGGTTTTTTATTATTTATCAAAACCCATGGCTTCATCAAAGCTAAGGAGTCTGATGAAAACTTACTGCTTTTGAGAAAGCCTGCACTGGTGGAATATGTTACTGAGTGTAATGAGAACAAATGCCTGAACCTCGAGTGTTTCAGAGACTGGATCCCCAGCTAGAAGGAAGGCAATTTAACTCTGTTCACATCATCAGTGGCCTTGGGAAACAGATATTATCTAGCAAGGTTACTGCTGCTTGTTCTATTGAAATTTCTCAGAGATGGAGAAATGGGATTGGGGGTGGTGGGGCATGGGGAGAGACACACGGCAAATGCTTGTGGTAGTTTCAGGGCACGTTACCACTTAGGCAGCACCAGCAGGGTTTGCTCAGGTTATAGCAGTAAAACTTTGGCAGTCCCATTAAACCAGCAGAGAGCAGGAGAGCAAGGACAGGTCCCCCTCAGGCTTGTGCTCTCTGTCCTTGGCTGGAGATCCCCTGCACGAGCACAGCTTGCGGTGAGACACCGTGTCTGCTGATTTACTCTACATGCTGTGCCCTCTGTAGTGCTTAACAGGCCTTGTGGTTCCTGGGAGAAAATAACTTTCTATTTAATCTTGGAAATGCTCCCACTTAATAAGTGGAAACACGTTCAAATACTCGGAAGATCTTCGACTAGTCCTCCTGCTCTGCTAGCTGCCTCTGACTGCAAATGCAAAGCAAGGCTGAATGCTCCCTTTGGCCTCGTTGCTCAACTTGTTGCGTGCCAGTGGCCAGGCAACTGATGCTCTGGAAAGAGGGTCAGTGGGGATGCACAGTGCCTTGTGCAGGCAGGAGTGTCTCTTGTCTGTCCCATTTCTACTGTAACAGCACACGCTCAAGGCCCTAACAAAGTTACAGCCACCTGCTGAAGGTCTTAATTTACTCACTGACTTTGCGAAATGAGGGTGGAAAACACAAATGCATAGAGGAGAGCTGAGCAAGCTCCGTCCAAAGCTCTCTGATGTGGTGTTTGAGGTGTCACCACAACTAGACTGGAAGCACGCTTGCGTGCACACATATCTGCAGGTGCATCTGATGGTGCCCTGGGTGTGAGCTGAGCATCCTGACCCCGGGCTCTGCCCCACGGTCTGCTCAGCCTCCCTCCCTGCGCGGGTTCGGGTGAGCCAGCCCGCCACACTGTGCTCCTGCGCCCCATCTCTGCAGGGCAGAAATTACTGAAGACTGCTTTGACTCCAGCTGGGCAACTCATGACTGGCAGGAGGATGGGTCTCAAAGTCCCCGTAAACCCATGCATGTAGACAAGGATGTCATACAGCTGGATATATCATGTCATTGGTATTGGGAAGGTATTTGCAGTAAAGCTGAAGGTGATGGAGGTTGGACTCCCAGGCTGCAAATCGACGTAACATGCAGGGGCATCTCTCTCGAGTCCAGGGAGGAATAGGCGGCACTTCTCACTGAAGGGCTTTGAAAATGGGATAAGCCAGGCTTTAGTACACTGCAATCTTGTTTAACTGGCAATATTTCTCTGCAAATGGATAAGCCAGGCAGTTCTAGAGGCAATGATGATCCTTTAAATTGGTTGTTTGTTTTTGTAGAATGGCTTGCCACTGTTTTATGGAACAAAAATGTATTTTCTGCAGCTGCTCTCAGTCAATGCTTCGAAAGTTTTAATGGGGTAGTGTCTAGTGTCTGACTATTCCCACAGATTAATCACACACACCCCCATTTTTGTTCTGAAGTCCCTAAATACATTTTGGTTTTACTTTGGGGAAATCTCTTTCTGGGGTTTGTTTCTTTTCCTGTCATTTCATTTTGCAGCATTGAGCACCATTGAAATAATTCTTTCCCATGTTGTTCCTGTGCACTGTGCTTTTTAAATTATTCTATGCAGCTTCATATTTGCTCAAGCGGAAATGCTTAAAATCCCTGGCAAGGGGTGTTGTTATCAGGGGTAATCACCCCCCTGCAGAGATGTGAAGTACAAGGTGTAAATGAGTACCTCAGCTCCCAGAGGCAGTGATAGCCAGCAACAGCCACGCTCCAGGAGCCGTCTTAGAGGTATTATGGAATGTCTTGTTTTTCCACATAAATCATTTAAATAAATTACCATGATGGCTGGAAACTGCTGGCTGATACTAAAATGTCTTAAATGAAGACACAAAGATAAACCTTTTAAGCACTTACCATCATGCCATGTTCCATTAGTCCATTATTATTTAATTATAGGCAAGGGGCAGTGGCAGGGAGGGGAGTGGGGGGTTGTGAAAGGACTTTCTCCTTTAGATAGGAGGCAACCAGAGCATGGACTGCAGGTCAAGCTGAGGCCACTACACTTTCAAAAGAGGCTGAAGGATCCCGGCATGCCTGCCCTGTAGTGTAGAGATACCCAAGGTGGCTTTAACCAGCTTGCTGGGGCAAGCTTGCCACCACGCGGACCTCTGTGCAAGTCGGTTTTGCTGCTGCTTTGCCAGGTCCTAGTGCCACTGCCACATTATTATTTATTATAGGCAAGGGGCAGTGGCAGGGAGGGGAGTGGGGGGTTGTGAAAGGACTTTCTCCTTTAGATAGGAGGCAACCAGAGCATGGACTGCAGGTCAAGCTGAGGCCACTACACTTTCAAAAGAGGCTGAAGGATCCCGGCATGCCTGCCCTGTAGTGTAGAGATACCCAAGGTGGCTTTAACCAGCTTGCTGGGGCAAGCTTGCCACCACGCGGACCTCTGTGCAAGTCGGTTTTGCTGCTGCTTTGCCAGGTCCTAGTGCCACTGCCACAGGAGGTCTCCTGGCCTTGTTCCCTCCACATCACAGGGCAGGTGTCAGCCTCAACCACATGGGAGAGGCTTCATCTGGATCTGTCCACCTGTGAGATGGACAGTGGCACCTGAAGTGCATGGTGACTGCAGTCTGCCTGAGTTTGAGATGCACGTTTTGCACGTGCACATCTAGAAAAATAGCACTCCCTTCTTCCCATCCTTCATCCTAGTGATGGGAAAAAGGGTGTTGAAAGAAACTGGGAAGGCTTGGATGCTGCTAGCTCAAAAGAAGAGCAATAGGGCATATCCAGGGAGGGACATCTGCTGTGCTTGAGACAACCTCTTCAAGCAGGTTGCCAAGGTAAAAAGACCAAGCTATGGACAATGTGGCTTAGAGACTGTGTTAAAATGCTCCAAAGCCGGGGTCTTCCAGGTGTGGATGCTGTCTGTGGGCTCGCACAGAACTCAATACTTGGCACACCTGGTTGTGACTCATGATTTACAGCTGATAAAACTACACGGGAAGGCATATTCTGTGATTCATGTGCCAGGCTGCATCAA